CTGAGATGGTCTTTGATCTCAGATGGGGTCCCAGCTCTGCTGCTTCTCACTGAGGTCTCAGTTTCTGCCATTAAAAGATGGAAACCCTGCCACCCCCTTCTAGAAATTCTGAGACCTTGAAAGGAGACACCCACTATGGACGGGCTTGGAGAGGACTGAGCATAAACGGATGTTGAGGGTTGTGGTTCTTTCCCGTGGAGAGTCCGTGGTTGGAGATCAGATTTCATTTAATTTAAGAAGTTGGGAATGTTCTGTAGTCGGAAACTAACTGGAAGGTGACTACTAAGCCAGGGAACTAGGAAATGTGAGTGCAGAGCACCAGAGTCTATACTGCTGAGTTTTCCAAGGGCGAAATGAAGAGGACCCCAGGTACTCCGCTGGCTTCCGTGGCTGGTCTCAGCTTGCATATGAGGCCAGCCCAACAGAGATTCTGGATCAGGCCACTGTAATCCTCCGGTGGGGGAAATTAAAATTTCTGGCTTGTAGCATTGATGGTTAGAAAAGTAACTTCCCCTGGGCCAATTTGATCTGTAGTCAATTTGTGTGTGTCTCACTCCCCTGGCTTCAGCAGATGAGGGCTGCATCAGGTTCGAGTGGGCGCTGGAAGAGCATTCCATGTGAACAGGTGGGCAGAGGCTCTCGGAAAGCTCAGCTCACTGCTTCCACCCTGACTTTGCTGTGTTCCCAAGAGCCCATGGAGTCTGCTGAGTGATTACCTGGACTGACCTTGAACCCCAGCAATGGAACCCCGAGAATGCAAAAGGCCATCAATCCAGGATAATCTGGACCCAGTCAGCTGGTCTTGGTTTCACCAAAGAGTCTCATGTGCTGTGAATGAATTAGCACATCTTTTATTGGAAAAGACCTGGATGTAGCTTCCTCCCTAATGGTGTTATGGTCATTGGGGTGGTTTTAATTGCCACTGATGAGGTACTCAGTCCCTCAGCCAGTGCCTCACTGGCTCCCTCAGACGCTGGCCTGGTCTGGCCTGACTCCATCGCTGCCCCAGGCTGCCGGTGGCTTTGTGTTTGGGGTGATGAGATGGGTTAAAAATCCTCCAGGCAATTGCTGCTTTATTTACAATTGGAAAAACATGGAAGCAGCCCAAATACCCAAAAGTGGATGACTGGATTAAAAAGATATGGTACATGGTCCTCCCTGGTGGCGCAGCGGGTTAGAGCACAGCACTGAGAGTCTGAGGCCACTTCCGCATGAGTTCGATTCCCGCCTGCTGCCTGCCCCGGAGGAGACCACATGGCGAGCCAGACCTCTCCTGACCCGCCCGCTGTTCCCCTCAGCAGTGTGCTTCGTCGATCTGCCTGTTCTGCTCCCCACTCTGTCTCTGGTGAAGCCTCTCACCGCCCCTGAGCCTCTGGCCTGTACCCCAGTTCTGTATGAATAAATAAATGAATCTTAAAAAAAAAAAAAAAAAGATATGGTACATATACAATGAAATATTACTCAGCAACCAAAAAAGAGAAACACATGTCTTTTGCGGCAACTTGGATGGAGCTGGAAAAGATCATGCTTAGTGAGATAAGCCAGAAAGAGAAAGAAAAATACTGGATAGTTTCACTCATAGCAGGAGTATAATGGACCAGGCGAGAAAATAACAAGAATAATGAACAGCCATATACCAGAGACATTTTGCGGGGGTGGAGTGGGGAATGGGATCAAAAACGAGGGGGTGGGGAGGGAAGTGCATGAGATTATGGTGATGGCACACGGGTGACATGGTGATGGGAAACCCGCGGGGACTACAATTGAGATGGAAAAAAAATGTAAAAATGTAAAATAAACTGTTATAAAATAAAAAAAAACTTAAGAGATTAAAAAAAAAAATCCTCCTCAGCTGCATAGTCCCTGAGGGGGCCCCAGTGGAGGTTGGTAGAGACACAGTATGTCTGGAGAGAGGGGGGGCCTGATTGATCGAGGCCAGTAAGTACAAGCCAGTGATTGGACAGCAGGAGTCTGACAGTAGACCAGCTTCTCACTGTGACATCAGAGCCTCCTCCGGACCCCTCTACTTAATGCCACTTTCTAATCAGCAACTAGGATTCCCAGTGGGGAGGTAAAGAGCCCCACATGAGCAGCAGCACCCAGCTCTTTGTTCTCTGCACATTCCCATGTATTCAGCTGCCTGCGGTTCCCCTCCCTAGAGAGCTCAAGGCTGTGCCTTCCCCAGATATCAAGTGTTAGAACTTAGGCTCTGCTTTGTATCCTCCTTGCCTCTGGTGTCCTGTAGGCAGCATAGCCCATGGGGCGGGACAGGCTCGGGTCAGTGACCAGGAGAATGAGGCAGAACAGAAATTGGCACAGGAGATAAAACAACTAAAGAGTCCTCACTTTAAGGGGTTGTTTTTATCCCTCTTCCTTTGTATTAAATCATCGAGGGGTCCAGTGTCACACAGACTCAGTGGCTCTCAATGTCACAATGGGACATGACCAAATGCGTCACCCCACATCCTCTGCTGTTGTTCCATTTGCCACCAGGAGCCATGGCCTGGCCTTTGCTTTGTACACCTCAGCACACATCTTTCCTGGGAAGAATTCTGTGTCATCACAGGCATATACTCTTCAGTTTTAAGAAAGAGCTGTGGGCTTCCTCTGGGTCCAGAGAGCCCGATGACCCCCAGCCACAGTGGCTGTGGGCCACAGTCTTCCAAATATAGCTGTCATCTCAGAAGTCTTGCTCCTAGTACCCAGTAAGCTCCAAGCTGCTGGGCCTTCTTTTGAAATGAGGTGGGTAGCGTTTACCACCAAAGGGTACAGGCAGATGTGCAAAGAGGTGGGTTCTCTTGGGACCTTTCGGAGTTTCAGGAGAAGGGAGTGGGGGATGGGAAGCACTCTTCAGGCCCACACCTACCACAGCGACCATCCTTTGTCTGTCCTTGTGTCCAGACATGGCCAAGCAGGGGGCTGTGTTGCAAAGGGTGAGCCAGCCACAGATTTGGCTCTCAAAAGACTCTGAGTCCTTTGCTGTTAGATGAAGAATTGTTTGAAGGCAGATAGTCTGACTTGCGTAACAGAGCTGAGGGAATAACCCAATTCTTCTGAATCCTCATTGCAGGAAATTGTTGAAACCGTTGTCATCATTTCTGTTTTTAATATTTGAGAAACTGAATTTTTCGTAATATAATTTTTGATGAAGTAATACAATATCCACATATTGGACTAACTTTAAAAGTCACTTTGTGTGGAAAGCTCCTAGCTGGGGATTTGGCATTAGGGCAGTGACTGCCCCGGGTAGATGCCATTATTGAAACCCTGCTGTCTAGGGGACAATCAGCATGACCAAGGTCCTCAGGGTGGTAGAGGCAGAGCTGGAGTTCAAACGCGGTCATCCGACTCTAGACTCGCCATTCACAGATCCCAACCACTATACTGTCTAGCCCCATAAATGATTTGGGGAGGATACTTAGAAAAGTTGCTATATGAAAAGAATATGCAGTAGGATGTTCTGTTTTGAAGATAAAATGGAAAACATCGACATACAGATACCACAATGTTACTAGTGATGGCCTCTTTATGTGGGACTACACGCTGGACTTTATTCTCTGTGTTTTTCTACATCATCAGACTGAGTGTAGAGAGAATGTATGACCTTTACCACTGGGTGATTTTTGGAGCAGTGCCTGCACACAGTGGCGAAGTGGATAAACCAGAGTGGAGGAGACAATGATGTAGCTGCAGTATTAGCTTTATTTCTGGCGGGGCCGTGTGGCTGGAGGAGGGAACAGCAACCAGAATAGCAGTAGGGGTTTGAACAAGAGGTAGCACTGTAGAACCTGGACTTGGAATATCACCCCCACGGACAGAGGACCTTTGTCTCTGGACAGTCCCTGGTGCTTTGGACTCCTGTGCTTTGTAGCGACAGTGGACGTGTGGAGAGAGATGTCCAGTTGACAACTGGACAGAGTGAGACAAAATGAGGCACATGTGTTGGCAGCCTCAGGGGTATAAGAGAGAGGCTCAGAGGGATGTTTCAGAGGATCACAGCCCAAAAGGCTCTTCGTGGAGGTGGAGAAGCTCTCTGTGGTGGAAGGTGTTTAGGGAGATGGATAGGGAAGCAGAAAGTAGGCTCCTGCTTCCAGAAGTAGGGAGGGGAGTGACTGGCCAAGTCTCTCTCTCTTTTTTTAAGATTTATTTTTTTAAGATTTATTTATTTATGCTTACAGAACTGGGGTACAGGCCAGAGGTGTGGTGGGTGAAAGGATTCACCAGACACCAGAAACAGAGGGGTGCAGAACAGGCAGATGGACAAAGTACACTGCTGAGGGATGCAGTGGGCCGGTCAGGAGAGGTCTCCCGTGCCATGTGGGTCAGCTCCCTGGCGGGGACAGAACTCGTGCTGCAGTGGCTTCATAATGAGGTGCTTTAAGCTGCTGCGCCACCAGGGAGAGCCCCAAGTCTCTCTTTTTTAAACCTTCTTAGATATTTATTCTACGTCTAGTAACTAAACTTATGAGGTTTCCATCTTTTAATATACAGTGATATATTCTACAATAAAAAATACAATTTACAGAAATTTCTATTACATAAACACACTTGATTTATATTAGAAAAATGTGTTTTACATGTACGGAAATCTTCAGCTCATTTTAAATGTTGAACCTGACACCATTTTAATGTAATTTAACCTACTGACAACTTGGTTTATAATACCAATCATCCCCAAATTGGTAAGTTTTCACCACTTACGCATTTGTGATAGAAAATGAAAAATCTGTAGCAATATTCAGTGGAATAATAAATAGACTCTAAAGAACACATGGAATTCACAGATTTTAGATTTGCAAAAGTAAGTTTATGAAAACATTAAGAAGTTATCCCAAGTGTGTTTATGCAGTTAAATAAATCATCACGTTTTTCATACTTCAGAAGTACTTGAAAAACACAAGACACCATGCACTGAGTCTCTATTTTTCCAGCCCTCTCACACTCTGAGGTTCACCCCTATGAAATTCTCACATTAATTGTGTCTTCTTTTCTTTGACCAGAGACCACCTGGGAACGTCCCAGCAGTACTCCTGGGATTCCAGCCAGCCCTGGCCCTCACAGGAGCTCTCTGCCTCCGACAGGTACCATGTCTCCTCTCTACTTGGGGCAGCTGGGATGGAGGGAGGGACCCAACCTCCTTTGCTGGGAAGGCCTAGACTCTGGCTGGGGAGCTTGTGAGCCAAATCCAGGGAGGGGTCTAGAGGCCTCGGAGGCCCCATAGGCCTGTTGCCTACAGGCCAGTGTCTCCTTGACAGTGCCAGCAGTAGCCCTGGTGACATGCCCTCACTCTGCCTCAGGTGCTTAAGAAAAGGAGGGTGACTCAGGATTACTGAAACAGGAGCAGAATTTCTCTACACACATCACAGAGTTACCCAGGAGCAGAAGTTAAAGGAGGCAGATTTTTTTTATAGGACAACATACAAATAGAACATTCTGGAAAAGAAATGGGATTCCGTGTGTGGGTGTGAGCTCTCCATCTGCAAAGGTAATCAAGTGGAGCTAATCTAGTAGGTGAATCTGGTTCTTAGATCCTAGCTAGTTGCAGGACAGATCAGTGGGGAACATAGCTTCTGACTTGTTGTTTAAACTTTGCTTGAAATGTCACTTCCTCTGAGAAGCCTTCCCCTAAAAACTCAATTTAGTGCCCTCTCCCTTCACTCTGGATCCCAGTCGTGTCTATTGCAGAGCAATCAGACAATTGTCAAGCTTGACTGTAAGCTTCCCGAGAGTGGAAACCTTGTCTCTCTGTTTGGTTTGTGGAATTCCTCAGGTCCCAACAGCTTAGTGGTCAATGGATTCGTGAATATCTCCACCATCTTGCGGTGCTAAAACCTGTTGCTGGCTTTTTGACTATAGGCGTCAACCTGGGGACATGGTGGTTCTAATTGTAGCTGGAATTTCAGCGTGAACTAGGGGCCGGAGGGGCTCAAGCTGCAGTGTCATCCTCAGCACATGTAGAGAGGGGAGAGCTTCCCAGCAGGAACCACCATTGACTTAAAGCATTGCAGGTAACCTAAAGAAGAAGTGATAATAACAGGACTCTTAAGACTGCCTAAGTAGGGCCTTGCTGGTGTCAGGGGGTTAAGTCTCAGCACTATCACCGCTATGGCCTCAGTTCGATCCCTGGCCAGGGAGCTGACCCTCATGGGTCTCCTGTCCCACCCACTGCTCCCCTCAGCAGTGTATTTCATTGATCTGCCTGTTCTGCTCCCCACTCTGTCGCTGGTGGATCCCCTCACCACATACCCCAGCTCTGATCTATACCCCAGCTCCTCTACACAAAAATAAATAAAATAATTAAAACAACCAATCCTTGAAAACTGACCATAGAACTGAGGCATCCACGGGAGAGGGTAAGGGTGGGCACAATGGCCTATGGGTGCCTTGGAGGTGGGAGAGCTGTGGTGGCCACACTGAGGGGAGAAATCCTTATACTGCCAAAATATTAACAAGAATGTCCAACTGATACCTCATTTTTTAAAAAAATCCTGGATCCAGGGAAGGCAGAGCAGATGCAGTGGGAGTGGCCCAGACCCCACCCTCCTTCCCAGGAAGTCTTTAGCTATTCTCTCCCATTGCTGCACTAAGAAATGGAAGTATGATCAAAGAGCATTATTTAGGGATCTGAAGATTGCCAGCAGAACTCAAAACCAAAATGGCTGAGAACTGAACCTCTGGAGAACCAGCTGAGATGTGGGGGAGGGGACAGGGGGGTAGAAATTTACTACAGCAAGTCTTTACTCTCCTACTAAGACTTCTTAGAGAGCTTTTACAATTTTTAATTTATATATATGTACATGTCTGCATACATATACAGATATAATAAATAAAGAGAAGCAAATATGTTTAACTTACATCAGAAAAAAAAAAAAAAAGAACTTCAAAAAAGGGGGCCTCCTTGAGGGGAGGGCAGTGAGTGGGCATGAACTTTGGATTTTCAGGGAGATAGTGAGCATCTTGTCAGCCAGGCCCTTCCAGCTTCCTCCTAGTGTGCGAAATAGGCAATTCCAGGCTCCGTTGTGTTGTGTTTTCTTAACCATAGAAATGCCGTCATCAATTCTGTGAGGTGTGGCCCTCCCTCCTGAATAGCTCCAGGCCAGGCAGACACCGGGCAGAAATTGAGCTGCGATTTCCCGCTACAGAGCAGGATGGGCCCACTGGGTGGGGCAGGGTTGGGGAGATGTCAGGGAGAACTGCCACCACCTGCAATGTGGCGCAGCTGGTCAGGGACTGCGGTGGTCACATGTCCAAAGCCGGCTCTCGCTGCTCGTCCCCATGGGCACCCTGTCCCCTCTGCTGTTTGTAAGGACATTCCCTAGAACGAGAGCTGGGAGTTGCTATCTCAGGCCGCCCCCTGCTAGAGACCAGGTGTGATCAATTTCTGCCTTCTCGCAGCAAGCACGAGAGTCCTGCTGGCCCAGCAGTGAGTGGGGTGTTGGGGTTCTGAAAGGGGCCCAGTATGGCAGGGAGGTGAGGGGAGAAGGTCAGACCCAGTGATGAGAACAGCCAGGTGAGCAAGGCCTGAGTCTGAGAACCTGGATAATGATTCCCCGTCCCCACCCCTTGGGCCTATGGCCATGTTTCCCAAACAAAGCCAGAATGCCAAAAGGGGACTCTGTAGTCAAATAGAGTGGGAAGCCTGCCTACCCACTCCCCTGTGGAGAGCACTACCCCAGCCAGGCTTGGAGGAGGCACCCGGCTGACTCAGCGTTCCTGCCCCTGGCTTTCTGCAGCACGCCTTCTGCTCCAGGGCTGTGGGTGCTCAGCTCTGGGGCGATTTTGCCACTGCAAAATCTGGCCACGCCTGGAGGTGTGCTGGCTGTCACCATGGTGGGGAGGCCAGAGACGCTGCTCACAGTCCCCACACAAAGTGTCCAGCCCTGGATGTCAGCAGGGCCAGTCTTGAGAGATGCTGTTCTGGCGAGTGGGAACACTGCTCAGGGGTGATTCCACAAGAGACGGTGGTCCCCTGAAAGGAGAAGCAGCAGCAAATATGCAGAACCAAAGTCACGATTCTAAGACCCACCTTTTATTCTGTACACTCTCCGCCTATTATTATCTTAGAAGTCAGACACCACCAGTGGTGTATCCTGGTGTAATAGGAAGCATCTTTTCTTCTTTCCTAGAGATATTTCAAACAAGGTGCCTTTAACAGCCAATGGCATCTTTGATTTGTGAAATTTCAACTTGTTCAGTTGGGGCCCAGGCCCAGCGCCTCTCCTTACCAGATCTCACTTTCTCCATTCATGAATTGATGCCTGCAGGGGCAGCCTGCCAAGGTCCTGTCTCCCCCTCCGTGGTGTGTAGGGCCAGACAATTTGTCAACTCTCCAGGCACCCTGTGGGATGGAAGGGAAGAGAACCTATAGCAGGGATCTGTCATATTGTGACATCTTTTCTAGTTTTGAACTACGCCTTATAGCTAAAGAATAGAATAATAGCTACATTAGCATTTCTTTCTGCAGGGGAGCACTAGGTATTTTACAGCCATTCTCTCATTCGGTTTTACAAGCAGCTTTCAGGAGATTAAGTTTTATCCTGCAAAGAGAAACAGACTCCAGGAGGACATGGGTTTGCTTTGAAATTTGACCATCTCTGTTCCCACCCTCTGGGGATCATTGCTGCCTCACCTGGCGATCACTCAGGGCTCTAGTCCCAGTCCCTTTTGTGCTATCTATGCTCCTGCCAAAATACCTGTCATTCAAAAAAATCCCCCAGATTGCTGTTCTCAGTACTGGGGGTATAGATAAGCCACTGGAATACAGATTCTGAGAGCAGGAGCCATACAGCACTATAGACACTAAATATGTCAACCGTTCTTTATGTGTTCTCATGTAAGGGATTAAAGTCAGCCCATGAGACATGGAGTGTGACCTGGGATTTAGGGACACCGCCTCAGTGAGAAAGTGACGTATAGGTCAAGCTTTAATGAGAATGGGATGAGGATGTGTGTGTGTGGGGGGGTAGTGGTGAAGTTCTACACCACGGAACATCTAGCGCATAGGCCCTGGGACAGAGTGACCCTGCCTGTTTGAGAATAGGAAGTAGACCAGCATGGCTGGAAGGTGGGGAACAAATGGGAGCATGGCAGGAGATGTGGGAGGAGTTTAGGAGAAGAGAGTGGGCAGGAGTGGGACCTGCTGGCTGGCCAAGTCTGAGGGGGAGAAGGTGCTGGGATTCTGCTCTGAGTGTAGTGGTTGGGTGGGGTAAGGGTGACATGTGGTGGACTTGTCTTGTCTTGAGAAGCTTCCTCCCTGAAGCAGCCAGGCAGTGTGCTGCTCTGTCAAGACTGCTCTTGATTAGCGGTGATGGGGGTGGGGTAGTTAGTAGGAAGGGGGTAAAATGCTAAGGACAGTGTGGAAAACTCAAGCATTTTTACTGACCACAAGCTTCCATGAGGCCACCCCTGAAGAATAACATGGAAAAACAGCTCAGGCAGTCTGTGGGAAGGAACCAAAGGTTAACCCAGCCAGCCCTAGTTGGGCCACCTCCTCTCCATGGGGACAGGCAGGTGGAGAGGCCCTGTAACTCACTTTCACTTTTGAGTTGTAGCTCCATGAGCTTCTGGAGAATATCTGGGGGTGGAGGGGCATAGACGAGGCTTTTCTTTCTTCCCTGTGCACAGAATCACAGTCAGTCTGGAAGATGGATCTGGAAACATGCCCAGTGGCCCCCACAAACTGGAACTTGCCCTTTGAGTGATGGGTGCTGGTGCAATTAATGCTCAGCTGGGAACTTTCCTTCTATTGCCACCTTAATGATGACCTGCGTTAGGGAGCTGTGTTTATTCAGTCATTTTATAAGAGACAGTTAATGCCAGGTTTTCTGAGTGAGGATGATGTAAATAGGAAACCAAGTTTAAACCCAAACTGAATACCTGAGGCGCTGCTCAGTAACTGGCAAATATTAAATATCATCTTTGGGTTTAACATGCAGTGTGAAAGTAATGATTTGTAGAGAGACAAATAGTAACAGGCAAGATGAAAATAAAATGAGTGAAAAGTGAGGTTCCTGGTGTTCCTTTCATGAGTCACCCACTAGAATGAGTGACAGCTGTTGTCTAGTAGAACTTTCTGAATTAT